CTCTTTTTTCTTCCCAAATGTAGTACATAATTTTTCCTGTTGGTGGAATTCAGGATGTGATGCAAATGACCTGGTGTGGTGTGGCACGAGAGGAGTGGGGTGTCAGATGGAAGAGGACCATTGGGGCAGAGGAGGAAGAGGAGGGGAAGGGGGAGGGGGAGGAGGAGGAGGCGGCTCACTCTCCTGATGGTAAGCATTGCTTAGACTGAGTTTTCTTCACCAAGAAGTAAGAACCTTCCGTTTACAATGATGAGCCATGGGGCCCAGAAAGAGAATGTCAGGTGTCTGGACTCTTTTGGAGTATTGGAATGATTACATCCATGTGTAAAGACAGTCCTTAGTGCTGTTCACCAACTCTCAAAGCAGAAAAAAATGTCTTTTCACTTCCTCATTAATTCATTCACTCACTTAGCATTAATTACTTACCAGGGCCCAGCTGTATTGCTAGGCCATGAAAGGCTTGGGAAGAAATGTAAATTCTGCCTATGAGAAGGCACTTCAAGAAGGCAACTTAGGGACAGATAGCCTTATGAGGAGGTAATTAATTTTATATTATGTACCATATGGAAGTGGCCAGTATGGGTCCTGAGTGGTAAAAGTAGGAGACTGGCTGCCTGTGGAATATTGTGTATGTCCATGAACTTATTTTTTTATTTTGGTAAATGTAGATATACCTTGGAGTAGTATGTCAAGAAATATCCTGTCAACCTTTGGAGAACACAAGAAAGATGCATCTCAATCGGGTTTATATAAAATAAGAAGAAAAATTTTACCAACAAAAGAAGATGAAGAGGCATTGTATCAAGTAAAATATTTCAGATTTTGGTCAGTTGCTTGAGGAGTGATACATTTTAGACTCTGATTTATAGTTTCAACCTTAGGAAAAGAGGTATGATGCTGTGAATGGAGTGGGTATAAATAATTTTTTAAAAATTGCATCACTGCTGTGGAAGCAGGAGAGTCTGGGCTGACTACACTTGTGGCAAAATTAGTTGAAAGATCAACTTAAATGTTTTATTAGGGTATCAAGCACTGATAACATTCCACTATTTGTACTATTCGCTTAGGAAGGTAAAATGGAAATTTTCCATCTGACACATTTATTTCCCCTCTTTAAGTTGGCAAACACTGACTTTTTCCACTGCATTTCTACATAACTGGACTCTTGCCAACTCCCGTGTGTGTGTGTGTGGGGGGGGGGGGTGTGCGCGCGCGCACTTGCAGTTAGGCAGACGATCACTGGTGCTGTTAGTTCAACTTATCTGCATTTGGGGGTTAAAACTTGTTTCTCTCTATAGACATTTTACGGGAGTAGGAATCTGATCATAGTTCTTTGCAAGTTTGTAAAGGTTTGCTGTGGGATCCCTCAGAAGGACACAAATAACAGTTCTCCTGAAGGTTTGCAGTTAGGATGTTCCCGCCCTGAGTCCACTGTGTTCCGCTCCTGTTGCTGAGTGAGTTCTGTTTTGTACTCTTGCTTGGTGTGAGCAGATACACGCGATCGGTGCCTTTTGTGCCTTCCTGAGGCTGGCCCTTCCACCTGCAGTGGTCTTCTTTGCTTATCAGTTCTCCACCGCTCTTTGAAGTCGGGCTGAAACAGCCGAGCCAGCGCACGTGGTGCGCAGCAGGCCCTCCGCGCTCAGCGGCCGGATCTGACACTGATCACAGGGTGCCTTGCACTTTATACACTTGCCGTGTATTTTGTACACATTCAGAGAACACGCGGTGTTACTTTGTGGCTAGCAGTGTTACAAGGACTTCGGGGCTTCAGGACCGGGAGACCTAGCTCTGCGTCTCCCTCTCTGTAACTCTCCACTGAGCTTCAGCTTCCTCGCTCCCATGCAGGAGACCACCGACGGCTATTCATACTCTCGCTGGGATAAGCACTCTACGCAGAGCCGTCGTTTCTTGAGGGTTCGCTACGTCCCTGGCACTGGGCAAAATGCTTTCTGTGACCTCTTCCCTTGTGCAATGCCTACAAGTCTTCATTCCTTTACCCCCCATCCTGGGACAGAGTAGGTTCTCACTGAATATTCCTCCAGTGAATGAGAACTGGGCTTGAGCTGGCAGCAGGGTTCTGTCTGCTGAGTCAGCTGCCCTGAGTCAGCAGTTGAGATACACACAACCCGGCTCCAGAGAGGGAAGGTAGCAACGAGACTGCAGTTCCCACCTCTGGCTGAAAGGCTGCTGGCCGTGATTCCTAAGCATGATGGAGAGCTGCTGGGGAAGGGAGAATGTCCTTTCTGAACTACACTGTTTCCTTTCCCACCACTTCTTACTCTCCCCTCCCCCACCCCTGCTGACCAGTTCAGTCTAGAAGAGGTGCAGATCTCGTTCTGAGTCACTCCAGGGTTTTATTGGGAATGCTGCATTTTTACTATATCCCATGGAACGTAAGGACATTGCAGATGTACATTCCTGGCCACAGGAAAAAAAAGTCAAGTGAAGTACTGTACCTATTTAGCGGTAAGGGTCTTAGGAATGTTAGAGGCTCATGAAAATCCCACCTAAATAAAAAATGACATTCCCGCCCTAGGGTTCTTCGAAGTGAAGAGAATTTTGGGGATCTCCAGGTTGATGACTCATAGTTTTCTCAGTGTTTTATTTCCATGAGCCATTGATTAAAGTAGGGTGTAGCACAAGATTTTTCTCTTCCAGCTAAGCTATTCCTATCAAGTGGGAAGCTTTGGAAGCTTCTTCAAGCCCCTAGGATACAATTTCATGCATGAAAACCATTGTATTTAAAATGATATTTGAGAGATGGTGGATCCGTTTTTTGCAGCTTCCACCAGACTTGCCTAGTTCCTGGGAAGCCCTGTGCATAGCACGGGAGTCTGGATGAAGAGAATTTCCTGAGACACATTAAAGGGTCAGTGATCCCATCTTGCTCTGTTCCTGGAGGCTGGAGTTAATGAGGAAGAGTTTTTCTGTGAGTGTCAGGCATGTTGCAATAACTAGCCACAACGGAATAGTCATAGCAACTTCCACCGCTTGGGTTCTTTGTTTTTGTGATGTTGCTGCATGCTTCGTTTTATGAGTCTTTTTTGTGTGTGTGGTTGAACACATCTATTGCCATCCTGGGCTTGGATACTTTTATTTTAAAGGAGATGAAGAACAGAGAGAGAAACTGGAAAATTGACAGAATGACATATCCTAAGCACTTATAAATTTATTTCCCTCCCTCCACTTCTGCTGACAGATATTCTGATGATTAATATTCTGATGAGTTTGTGTCTTTAGGAGAGGGAAAAAAATGCCTTCCCCTTAAAGGGAGTCTTGAAGAGCAGACCATAACAAGGCATAAGAAGTATTGTGAAAATGGACTTTTTTTCTGGGATGTCAATATCTTGGATACAGTCCCACTCTAGTAATATTCTTTCTGAAGTAAGATAAATGAAAATTATCAACAACCCTTTTGGTTTGGTTTTTTGGGGAGAGTCATTTGTGTACTTGAGGGCTTTATCTTGCTCATAGGAATGCTAATTTATATTTGAGCGAAAGCCCTAGAATAGAATATAAGGACTGGTGGAACTCTTTTTTTTTTTTTTTTAATGGGAAGTGGGGGGAAGAGAGAGAGAATCTTAAGTAGGCTCCACACCCAGCATGGAGATGTAGTTGGCTTGATCTCACTAGCCTAAGATCATGACCTGAGTCGGATGCTTATCCTACTGAGCCTCCTGGGTGCCCCGGGACTGGTGAGTTCTAGGGGTCATTAGAGAAAGGCCTAACTGCAGTGCGTTTGTGCTTTAGATACCTCGATTCCCAAGATGGAAGTCTGTGCCTCTGTAGCAGTACCTGTGGGGAACCACTACCGGTTGGCCTTCTGGGGACAACCTCTGGAGGGCTTTGACCAAGCCAAGCAGAAAGGCTGGGGTCACAGCTGGGGTGGGGTATGAAGATGGGGCTGTTGACTTCTCAAGGAGCAGGCACCACGTACAGACGTAATACACGCAGGGAGTGTGCTTCCATTCCTAGCAGCCTGTTTTTAGAATTTTATATTCAGGTAGTATTTCCATTTCTTCTCTGCTTATACTTAGAAGAGATGCCAAGGGCAACCTCTGTGCTTCACCTAGCCATTTTCGAAGTTATTTTCATCTAATCCTGTATATTAGAAAGACTCTTTTGCCATTTCCCACTTTTAAGAAAGTTTTTCTCTCTGAATTTTACTATTGGGTATTTTCCCCCCACTTGTTCTTTACTTTTTGACATCAGATCCTGTCGAAACGCGGATACTTTTTCAAAGCCAATTCAACAAATAAGGCTCAAGAAAGAAGGCAAAGTATCTCCCTGCTGTTACCCTGTTCTGGAGTGCCTAACCTCCCTGGCACACGGGAAGGAGTGTGTGTGTTTGCGTGGACAGGGAGACATGAGCGCAGCCATCGAATTGGCCAGCCTGGTGACCAGCGAGCCCGCCCCCACGCTTTCCCCCCTCCCCCTCCAGCGCTCACACTCAGGAAGCAGCTGGCTACGGGCCGGCCCTCGCGGCCAAACACACATCCACACTCCTCGCGGGGCCGCCTCTCCCCCTCCCCCCTCCCCCTCCCCCCTGCAGCCGCGTCCACACTGCGCCGCCCCTGCAGCCCAGAGCGCGGCGCGCAAGGGCACCAGCGCCACGGCCGATACCGTTGCCCCTCCCCGCACCGCCCCCCCCCCCCCCAACGCCCGCCCGCAGCCGTCCAGGCTCGCACCGGCGCTCTCCCAGCGGAACCCGCCGAAAGCAATTAGCCAGCATCCCGCACCGGCCCCCAGACGCATCCCCCGGCCCAGGGCGAGGATGAGCAGGACAGGGGAGGCACAAAGTCGAAACTCAACTTTTTAAAAACATTTGCGTGTGTATGTGTATGTGTGGGGGGAGAATGAGCTGATGCCGAGGGTCCAGCCACCCCCTTCTGCCTCCTCCTCCCCCTGCTGCCCTCGCACACGCGCGCGCACACACACGGCACTTGGGCCGCGTTTCCGCGCTCCGTCCCCCGGCTTGGATGGGAGTTTTCATTTCCGAAGGAGGCAGAACCCGTGGAACGCGCTGAAGGGCTGGAGCCCCAAGTTACTCCTCGCCCGCGCTGGCCTCTGCTGTCATTCGCAGGCTGGCCGGGGAAGGGACCCGCACGCCTGGCTTTGTTGTGGAAATCCGGGTTACCTGGTAAGTGGATACCAGAGGAGCTTTGCTCGCAGGCGAGAGACGGGAGAAACTGGCGCTTGAGAGTGTGGGGGAGGTAACGCTCAGAGACACAAACTAGGGATTAGAAATAGTTTTCCACGCTGAGCCAGTGGCGTTCGCGCGGCTTTAAGGCTACGCGCACCCCCCGGCCCCAGATTTTCTAAAAGCTCTGTTGGTTGAGATAGCAACCAAGCCCTGTTGTTGTCAGTCCCCTAAGAGCACCGAGTGTAGAAGACGGAAAGGAAATCAACAAGGTATTAAAGTTTAATAGGGAGAGTTTTTGTTTTTGGTTCTTCTTTTGAACAACAGGGGCCAGAGGGCCACACAATCAAAGCAAGTTACAGGACGTAGGGGCATGGTCCTGCGCGCCACCCAGGAGTCCCCACTGAAGGGAAACTTTGGAGAAGTGGGAATTGATGGGGTGACGTGAGGTCCCGCGCGCTCACCCGGGGCTGTAGTTGCGTTTTCCAGTTCCACGTGTTTGTGGAGCTCCGCTAAGGCTGTTCTGCGTGCCTGCATCTCGCCAAAGACAATGTCCCCATTGCTCCGGAAGGTCCTGGGGTTGGGGGTATGCTCGCTTGTCGCTGGGAGGGGTTCCGTGACCCGCAGCCGCCGGGACTCTAACTGTAACCTCCCACGCCGCAGAATGCGCAGACATACTCAGACGCTCGCACACCGGGTTCGTCACTTTGCGTTTACGTTTTTTGGGGCCCGACAAAATGTCAGCGCTGTTTGGAAAATGTCTCAGTCTCCGGCGCTCTGTCCTGCTCGCGGCTCCAGTCCCTGTAAATGACCCTGTGTGTATTTTGAAGTCGGTCCGGGCCGCTCTCCGGAAAGCGTGAGTGAGCAGCCGGCTCTCTCCTAGACACACACCTTGCCCCAAGCAACTCTTAAAGTTAGTCACTGGAGCTGACAAGTCACCTCGGGGATGAGGAAGTTACCCAAGTGTCTGGAAAACTTGGCCTTGACGGATTTGTCATCCTGTGGATGATTCAGTTAGGCACCTGGAGGGAGACGCTTTGGGAAAGGTGGTTTCCGGCTTCGCGAGTCGCGCCCTCGACTTGCTGGGGGTGTTAGGGAGGCGAGAGGCGAAAGGAGACCCGAGGGTTGGGAGCTCGGTGGGAGCTGCGGGCCGCGGCTGCCCCGGAATCCCAGCTTGGGCCGGGAAGGGCAGCGCGCTGGTCCCCGCCGCTTGGGTTTCCCAGCCGCGGGCCCGCGGCGGCGCCCTTTCGGCCCGACTTACTCAGGACGGGTTGCACAACAGGAAACCGGCACGAGTTTGTTTTGTTTTGCTGCACTAGCTCGCGGACCGGGCGGAGGGTTAGGGTCAGAGGCGGCCGGCGAGTGACGGGGTCGCAGCAGCGCGCCCCAGCTGGGCCCTGTCGCCTCCGCCCTCGGACCCGCCCCTCGCTCCCCACAGGGGGACTAGGGGCTCGGCCGGGACCTCCACGGGCCAAGCCAGGGGGCGCTGGGAACTGATAAGGGCTGCCCTTCTCCTGCCCTGCCCCAGGCGCTTCTCCCCGCCCGGCGGGTCCCCAGCACCCCTCCGGGTCTCTCTAGCCCTCTTCCTGCCTGGAGAGGCTCCCGCCCTTCTGCTCTGTATTCTTCCCCCCCCTGCTAGGCTTCCTGGGGTTCTGCGAGGCCCTCATCTCTGGAGCATCTAACCCCGGGGCAGGGGCTGGGGGTGGAGGGTACTTCCGGAATGGCAGGGAGCAGCGTCTCCCGAGACTGGACTCTTGGAATTGCCGCCCCTCTTACGGAGTAAAGGGCTTTGCACCCTCTCCCCACCTACTTCCAGGACATCAGTATCTCCCCAGAGTCTGGGCCTGGGTGGGGGGTGGGGTGCTGGAGTTTGTGAGGAGAGGGATGTACTGCAGCTCCCCCCAGCGGACCAAATCCCTTTAGGCTATGGGAACTGGGAATACCAAGTATAGACTGTTAAAGCTAGAAGGGACCTTGGTGATCACCTACGCACGAGGAAGCCCAGACCCAAAGACTTCTCGGGTTTTGTCCAGGCCTTCATAGCTACTGTCATAGATGCTGGGCACACACTCAAGTTTCCCATTTTCCAGTGCAGAGAGCATTTCTTGGCGTGAAGGTGAACTCAAGACAAATGTGAAGTTGCCTTAGGTCCCCACTGAAAGCTTTGATGAGTCATGATTTCTGCCTTGGGAGTTAGCCAGACATCCGTTTTCCCCTGTGTCACGTTCTCTATTAGACTACCCTTTTACACTAAACTGGGAAGCTTTTTTTTTTTTTTTTTTTTAGGTATAAAATTGATTTGTTTGGTTTTAATCCTCCCATTCCTCCTCTTCTCCCTCCTCTAATTTTGCTTCCTTGGTGAAGTGTTACATAAGTGCAAACTGCAAAGGTTTGCAGAAGGATTTGCCCACATGAAGGTTAGGGGACAGCTTGCAGCCATGTAGAGACAGGACTGTGTGATATTACATGTTGTTGCAACAGGGAACATGCCGAAGGTTTAGGATCACATGTAAATGCACTCCAATGTTTTGGATGTTTTCACTAGTTGTCTATGGCAGCCCTTCTAGACCCGCCACTGCCTTTGAAAGGAAGAGTAGGAGACATTTCTTTTTCAGTTCCCTTCAAAACACTTTTCCTTATTGGTAGTTGAATTCTTTTCCTTTGTTGCTCAGAGGACTCAGCAGATCTTGAGTATGAGTAGTTCAGTCTAAGTGCTGCTGTATACGACTCCCTCTCTCCTGGTTCACCTTAGGCCAGTTGTGAGAGGGCATCTTTTCTCTGAGCCCTGGTTCTACCCAAGTTCCTTAATAGTAGTTGGTTTGTCAGAGATTGAATACCTGGGGTCTGTTGGTTTGCTTGGAAGTGGCCACCATTCCAACAGGAAAAGCAAATTCTTGGGGGGTGGGGTGGGGTGGACTCCAGGGTTCAGCTAGTGGGTAAAATTCCTATTGGGCCCAAATAAGCAGGATAGGGTAGGTGAAACAATAGCAAACTAATGTTTTGTACCAAATCTGTCTTCATTCATATGGCAGAAAGTGGTCTTTCCATGGTTTCAAAAGAGAGAGAGTCAGTGTTCTCAGTCTGTTTCTCTGAGTGTTCTTTCTTGCTAGTAAATTAAGCCTGAGGACATTCTTTTCACTTTTGTCCCTCTCATATTGTAGGTATTGATCTCTGGAGTTGGAATGTTAATTTGTAATTCTTCCCGAATAGAGATGAAGTACTTCTTGAAGGAGATAGTTCAGGAAGTGGCATCCCGTGCACGTTCTCTTCCCTGGAGAAGTCATTTTCTGTGTTTCTGTAATTATTTTCTGTGGAAGATATTATAAAGAAGGTGGAAATACAGGACTTTACACTAAGTCTCGTTGCTTCATAGACTCAATTAGGATTGAAAATAAAATTAAAAAATAAATAAATGGAGCATAGGAAATCTGTGCTGCCTTATTCCTGGAGGATGAGACATGCGACAAAACCTTTAAATGACTCTAACATGTAGTTCGATAAAAAGATGCCCAAGTTCCAAGTTTTCCATTTACTTCAGATGGAGTTGACACGAAACCCAAATTTTTTATTGAGCTGAAATAAAATATCCATACAGAAAATACACGTATCTTAAGCTTGATGAATTTTCACGAGCTAAATGCAACTGATTAGCTGGCATCCAGATCACGAAATAGAACATTACCAACACTCCACACACATCTCTCATATACCGTTCCACTCACTATGTTCCCCCCAAAAGTAACCACTGCCTTGACTTCTGACAGATAGATTAGTTTTGCCTGTTTTTAAAAATACCTTATGTGAGTGGAATAATTCAATATGTACTCTTGGGTCTGGCTTCTTTTCCTGATGTAACAGCCTTCTGGTAGGTCAAATAATTTGGATTTCCCTTTAAACATGGCGGGAATAGTTTAGCTTGCAGAAGTTAGTTGGTCAGGCCTTACTTAATATGACAGAATTAAAGAAAACACTGACAAAACAGAAGCTATATTTTCTATGCTAATGACAGTCTGACAGGGGGACAACAGATAAGAGCGAAGCGTCCAGCATGAAGCCAGTGCGGGATGAGCAAGGAGAATGCCGAGGAGCTCCTTCCTCCATGACGGCTCCGAATGCATTTGACAGCCCCTCTCTTAGGGTCACCAGCCCCCACAACAAAAGAAGTGCCTGGTCTCAGTACTGAAAGGACTCTGTTTGTTTTCCAGCTTTTAGCTATGATTTTTCGTTTTTTATGAGTACACCACGATAAAGGCCAGGATAATGTTTCTGCTCAGAAGAGTGCTGTAGTGTCTGTGCTACTTTTTCCTGTCAAGAGAAAGGAATAAACTAGGGAACATGCCACTGTGATTTAACTGGCTCCACAGGACACAGAGTGTAGGATTTGTGATCACACCGTTACACCTTATTATACTGGATTTATTTGGGCAATAAATGATAAGTATAGGATATAAATACATAATTATATATTTCAGTCATCCCACATTTTTCAGTATAAATGAGTAGTACAGTATGATAAGTATGAGTGCATATAAATGTATGTAATATATAAATGTAATATAAAAATCCATACATGTATAATACATGTAGTATGAAAAATATAAATTTATAGGTTTAATATAAAACCATCTATGGGGGCGCCTGGGTGGCTCAGTTGGTTAAGCGACTGCCTTTGGCTCAGGTCATGATCCTGGCGTCCTGGGATCGAGTCCCACATGGGGCTCCCTGCTCAGCAGGGAGTCTGCTTCTCCTTCTGACCCTCCCCCCTCTCATGCTCTCTGTCTCTCATTTCTCTCTCGCAAATAAATAAAATCTTAAAACAAAAAACAAAAAACAAAAAACAAAAAGAAAAAACCCCCCATCTATGTACATATAAGGACTGGTGACAGTTGAAAGGTAAATTAGACAGGACCCCTAAAGGTAATGAAACACAGACAAATAACTATAAGGCAATGTAGAAAGTTATGAATGTTACAAGAGAGGTATTTCGAGTAAAATAGTTA